TCTTATGAACGTGGACTTGGCGCGATTTTTTTACAGTGAAACTGTTTTTGTTCGGATATAAAATAATTTGCTCGGACAATTTTCACAGTATTTAAGACGTCCTTACAGTGAATCACCTATATTTAAATAAAATTTTGCTTTATTAAATAATGACTAAAAAAATTTTAAAAATTAAAATAATAAAATCTAAATGACTACTTACAATATTTATCTGCGGCTATTTATCGCCTCTAAAATAAAATAATTACCAAACCACGTGTGCGGAGGATTAGGGGTCTCGAATTACATAAAAAAAAAAAAACCAAAAGAAATATTCAACAGACCGCATCTCGCGTAGTAATCTCTTTAGTAGCTTCTTAGATTTCCTGAGGCATAAAAACCCGAGAAAAAGAAGAAAAATGTAATAAAAAAGTGTCAAGGGCTATTTCTAGTGTTGAGAAGCACACATAGACTTCTGCGCCTATACATTGGAAGGTTATATAGAAAAATACTTTAAGTTCGGGAGTTAATTTATAACGTACGAGCCTTTAGATTATCTATACCAGTCACTTTTGCATTTCCTGGCGATATTTTTTATGAGCTACTAAGGAATAGAAGTAGATTTTATCTCGTTACGTGGTTTTATTTTTTATAACACGTGTTCTGGAATTAAATTAATTAATTTGAATATTTAAAATTTTTTAAATTATTATTGATGTAAATAAAACAATATTTATTTTTACTTGTTAAATTATTAATTAAAAAAAAAAAAAAAAAAGATTTAATCAATCAAGACGCGAAAAGAAGTGCCTGTAGTTAAGTTTCAAATGGCGATTGAGCGCAAACAAAGCTTCAATTCTTTTCTTTAAAAAAAAAAAAAAAAAAAAAAAAAAAAAAAAAAAAAAAAAAAAACGGGCAAACAATGCGGAATAATAAGCGACAGTTGCAAGAATTTATATTGAAAGTATTCGGGCTATAAAGGTGATTAAAAATAAAAGGTTTGTTGAAATATGCCACGCCTAGATTATTTCTTCCGTCTGTTGTATTCTTCCTTTGAATTTTCATCTGTTTCGTATTTTTGAGTTTGTGTTTTATATTTATATTCTTTAAGCCCTACGGTCTAGAGAATTTTACTCACCAGACCTGCTTTACCCGCTCCTCCCATGGGGTTTTTAATTACAGGCCACGATTTTTGCCCGAAAACATCGTTAGATTTTTGAAAATATGTATTTTAAGTGATGAATAAATTGTTTATTTTTTTTTGAGAAAAAAAAATAATTTAGATTTGTAAAATAATTAAAATAGCAATTTTATTTTATTAATAATTTTCGTTAAAATTTTTTTATCATCTATATTATTAAAAGAATAAGTAAAATGCTCTATCTCTAGATACATAAATAAAAAATGACCTTGTATTTTGTGAACTATTGACATTTTCAAAGAAATAAGCTCATTACGATATTACACTCATCAAGAGCTTTCATTTGAATACCCACTTGCATATTTTATATATTTTTCATATATACATATATATAATATATATAAATATATAAAATATATGAAAAATTAATGTGGGTACTCAAATGAAAGGTCTCGATGAGTGTAACATCAGGATGAGCTTATATTTTTAAAAATGTCAATAGTTGACAAGATACAGGGTCATTTCTTAACTATTGACATTTTTAAAGATATAAGCTCATTTCGATGTTACATTCATCAAGAGCTTTCATTTGAATACCCACTTGCATTTTTTATATATTTTTCATATATACATATATATAATATATATAAATATATGAAATATATGAACAGTTGATGTGGGTACTCAAATGAAAGGTCTTGATCAGTGTAACCTCAAGATGAGCTTATTTCTTTAAAAATGTCAATATTTCACAAAATACAAGGTAATTTCTTAATTATTCTATGCCTTGTGTTTGTGTCTTATTACACAAAATTTTTTTTATTCATTTAATAATATAGATAATTTCTTTGAATATTTTTTTTTTGATTTTTTAACAATAAAAAAAAAAATTAAACCCTAAGAAAATTTATACAGTAACATATCCATCAACTCCTGTAATTTTTAATTACCGTATTTATTTATCGGTCCATAAAGACTACGTCCCAAGATTTTCACATAAATAACAAAAATCTCCATGATTATTTAACCTATAAATAATAAACCGGGTGTACTACATCAATTTTATAGATGTTACAAGACATTTGGACCCACCTACTCCGAAATTAAAAGTTAGACCTAAAAACGTTAAGCCTGAAGTTAAAAACTACCAGATCTACAACATCAAAAACACTCCTCTATATCTTCTGTCGCTTTTCTTCTTATTGCGCTTCTTCGTTTTTATTGTATCTCTAGTATATAGGCTTTGGGCTATAAGTCTATACACTAGGTCTATAAGTTAACTTTTCTTCTACCTACGTTAGTCCCCCGTACATTCGGCTTCCAGCTGTTTTCTAAAAATCACCGTCTTATAATATTAACAAGCCCGGGACACAACATCATTACGTGATCTAACCATCGTTACATCCTATTTTTCAAAATATAAAGTAGTCACTAAGTCACTCTCTAATCATACCTATTTCCTCGGTTAGCCGAATAATCCTCGTCATTATACATCTGTTTGACTATAAATATCATCGGGGTATACTTTTCTTGTAAATTATTATTGAATTATTATCTAATAAATTTTTTTATATTGTGGATTTTATTAAATTGTGTGAAATTTTTATTTTTTCAATCAATATGTATTTCTTAAATAGAAATTAAATGTTGTAAAAAATTTTTATAAATTTCGATTTTGTTTTATAAGTTTTGCTATTGAAATTTCATTAAAATTTGCAAAATCTCTTAAAATCTTATCATTTTATATATATTTGTCACATATACATATTTATAATATATATGTTAAAGATATATAAGCTCATCCCGATGTTACACTCATCGAGACCTTTCATTTGAGTACCCACAT